TCAAAATGACTTATCGTTTGAACAAAGAGGAAGTCACATTGAGTAAACTTCAAGGCTTGCTAAGAACCGCTGAGAGTGGATTGAAGACAAAGAGTATTGACTCCACTATTACTGTTGCTTCACCAGTCTTAGATATTGGGCATGGTAAGGGGAAAAAGAGGATGCAACGTCCTTCCCTCGAAGCAAAAATGTAAGGGAAAGTCCCATGAAGGGTCTTCTAATAGTGTACCCAAAGGCAAAAAAAACAGTGCTAACGCTCCTCCTACAACATATCCAAAGGATGCAACGTGCTTCTAGTGCCAAGACAAAGGGAACTGGAAAATAAGCTTCCCAAAATACTTGCAGGACATTAAGTATGGTAAGATCAAGCCTACCTCAACAAGTATTTACACTATTCAATCTAAAAATTGATTGCATTCTAATTCTTGGGTCCTTGACATAGGGTGTGGTTTTCACATTTGCTCTGACTTGCACGGACTAAGAAGAAGTGAGGATGTGGAGCATAGGAAGATAAACATACTTATGGGAAAAAGGAGATCGTCACATGTTACCAAGATTGGGATTTACTCTTTTGGGCTTAGTAGTGGGTTCAGTTTAGATTTAAATAACTGTTGTTACTCATCAGAAATGATAAGGAATATTATTTCTGTTCATGGTTTGTACAGACAAGGTTTTAGATATTCTTTTAATAATGAGAAGGGTTCTATTAATGCTTATTATAATGGTGTATTTTATTTTGAAGCATTACCTTGTGATGGTGTATATGAAATCGTGATGCTAGTAGTCGATTTTGGAAATAATGTGTTACAAATTGATACATCTAATGGTTTAGAGAAGCAATGCTTATGGCATTGTCATCTTGGAAATGTCAGCAAGAAGCGCATTGCCTAACGCTAAAAAAATAGAGTGTTGGAATCATTTGACCTAAGGTCAGATGATACATGCGAGTCCTGTTTTCTTGGAAAGATGACTAAATCACCTTTCATAGGTTCCGGTTAAAAATGTGAGGGATTGTTGGATCTCATACACACCGATGTGTGTGGTCCCTTCAGATTCACCACAAGGGATGAAAATTGACTTTATTTGATTTTTACCAATGATTATAGCAGATATGGATATATCTACTTAATCAAGCTTAAGTCAGAAACTTTCAAAAAGTTCAATGACTTTAAACATGAAGTCGAAAATCAATTGGGCAGGAAGATCAAGATGCTCAGATCTGATAGGTGTAGTGAGTATCATTGTTTTGAGTTCCATGACTACCTCACGGAATGTGTAATCGTTTCACAAGTGACACCTCCTTCGACACCACAACTTAATTGTGTGGTTGATAGGTGTAATCAAACTTTGTTGGACATGGTTCATTCCATGATGAGTCGAGATTCGCTTCTGATATCATTCTGGGAGTATACCTTGGAGACAGCCGCTCATATCCTTAATGTAGTCTCGACAAAGAAGGCTACCAAAACACCTCACGATATGTGGACATGGAAGGTTCCCTTTTTGACACATATCAAGGATTGGGGTTGTGATGCTTTCATTAGATGAGAGACTTTCAACATGCTTGAACCTCGAAGTAAGAGATGTATTTTCATTGGCTGCCCACATAAGTCCTTTGGATACTTGTTCTACAGACCTAGTGAGAACGTGGTCTTCGTAGCACGAAGGGGAGTCTTTTGCGAGAGAGAGCTCATATGAAAAGAAGATAGTGGAGAGTATAATTTATATTGAAGAAATTCAAGAGTCAAGAGATGAAGGAACCTCTAACACTAAAGCTCAACCCGAGGAAGAAATTCATGTTGAACCAATTAACGAGTCGTTAGCTCTTAGGCATTTCATTCAAGTTAGAATGATACCAGAATTTTATGGATTTCATATTACCATGGATGGTGACACGTTTATCAATGATAGTACACTGGTAAATTTGGCTGAGTCTTCTAACTACAAGGAAGCTGTGGCGGGCCCGGAGTCTGCTAAATGGAAAGAGGAAATGGACAGCAGGATCCAGTCCATGTATGAAAATTAGGTTTGGAACTTGGTTGAGAATGTACCAGGTCATAAAACAATGTGTGCAAAAGGATCTTCAAGAAGAATACTTACATGGATGGAGAGGTACACACGCTCAAGGCACGACTGGTTGCAAAGGGCTTTACTCAAACCCATAGTTTGACTATGACGAGACCTTCTCACCGGTGGCTAACATCAAATCTATTAGGGTTATACTAGCCATGGCTGCGTTTCATGATTATGAAATATGGCAGATGGATGTCAAAACCGCTTTCCTTAATGGAAAATTTGCTGAAGATGTTTACATGAATCAACCAGAAGGTTTTTTGGATGCCAAGTATCCCAATAGAGTGTGTAAGCTTTAGAAATCAATCTATGGATTGAAGCAAGCTTCTCGCGGATGGAATCTTTTTTTGATGAGAAAGTCAAAGAGTTTGGTTTCTATAAGAGGTGAAGATGAGCCTTGTGTACATGTCAAAGCTAGTAGGAGTATAGTAAGGTTTCTATTATTGTATGTTGATCAGATACTACTCATAGGAAATGACGTTCCAACATTGCATGATGTTAAGTCCTGGCTTGGAAAGTTTTTCGTTATCAAGGATCTAGGAGAGGCTGATTATATTCTGGGAATAAGGATTTTGAGGAATATTTGTAGAAGACTAATTGAACTTAGTCAAAGTACTTACTTGGATAAATTGCTAAATACACTACAAGAAAATAGCCCTTTAATGACGCGCAAACAATGACACTCGCTGATATACGATGTGCATTTGTAAGTGCCCTAAAAGATAATGTCACTTTTGCAAATTTTGAAGGATAGAGGGCACGCATTTTTGCGCGCGCTAAAATTAGTGTCAGAAAAGAAAAAAAAATACGGAGGGCACCTTTCATAAAATGTGCGTCATGTGAATGTGTCGCTTTATAATTTTAAGTGAAACACGCGTTTTAGGCGGGAAATGAAATCGACAAAAATTACCCCCGCCTATTGAATCCCAAAATTAATCCCCCCGCCTCTTCTACTTAGCAAGAAAAAGCCCTAGGTCCTACATCTTCATCTTCAGTATCATCAAACATCTCGTTCATCGGATCTCTACTCGATCTCCTTCTTATCAGTATCACCAAACATCTCATTCACCACCTCCGCCCTATCTATAACAAATCTCTCTCTCTCTCTCTCTCTCCCATTAACCACAACAAATGAGAGAGAGAGAGAGAGAGAGATGATTCCGATAATGTATCAGTTCGTCCGATTGGATGCATATTTACTATTAAATTTGGGGATTTTCTTTTATGCATCACTACCCTCTTCTATTTCAATCATTCCAAGTTCATTGTATAACAAGGCTTCGTTGGTTTTATTAGCTAATGATCTCTTTCTAGATGTTAATCGATCTCCAGTTAATTCGTTCACCCCCTTTTTTTAGGGTTTTTGCTCCCCACACTTCCTTCTTCGTTCTAACCTAGATGCAAAAATCGATGAAACATGCGTTTTCCGATCTTTAATAGCCAAGATGGAAACGAAATCCCCGAAAATTCGAAAAACCCCGCCTTGTTCTCCTTCTTTCTACTTTTCTCTTTTCGGCTCTTCACGCACACAAAGATAACGATAAAACTAAGGGAACGAAGATTGGAGAGCTTCCACCAGATACTCATTCACATCCCTATTGTGCGATTCTATTAGAAAAAAATCAAGTCCACAATCGAATTAGGCCGTCCAAGGTTTTCTAACCCTATATTCTTGTGAAATTTCAAGCACATCTCTCTAAACTGGGACGAGGATGGAAAAAGACGGGTTGAGCTAACAACTTGAACATTCAGGTCCTGTTTTGATTCTTCGTGATCTCTCTCTTTTTCTCTCTCTCTCTCTCTCTCTCTATCTGATATTAGGGTTTTTTCATTTATACAACAAGTATTTTGATGAATGGCATCCCTAAAATCAATTTTTATAATCACTTGCTGGCTGACTTGTGTGAACTGTACCAAATTTTTAGGTGTTATTCTCATCTCTTTCATCGATACATCTTTTTACAGGTTCATGTTTTCATAAATTTTGTTATCAAAGCAATTTTTGAGTGTCAGTGAGATTCATCCATCAACTGAAATGGCAAAATTAATTTTTTGTATGTGGATTATAATTCATTAATTTCTAACCACATGGACCGATGTTAGTGTAAACTTTTTATATGATTATGTGGAACATGGATATGCACACAATGTGTTTGTATAAATGCTCAAAAGAATCTTAGAGTTGTCATGGGTCTGTCTCCTGTTCACAGTTGAGGTTTTTCTTCTTTTTTAATGTTGATGCTTACTCATTTGGTAGATGGCTGCCAAATGTGCTTGAACATACCTTTCATGTTCACCTAATATGGAGATAGCTTTTAGCCTCTTTCTAATATTTTATTTATCATATCCATCTTTTAATAACGATTTTCTATTTATAATACTAGATGTGTGATTAAGATGATAGCTGTCAAGCGTACAAATGTTGAGAATTTGAAAAATGAATTTGATTTAGCTAAAAGAACAGTAGAGGTTAACTTCCATTTCCAAACTTTCAACTCATACTTCTTTGTTTACCACTACATTCCTTCACTTGTGTTATTGGAATTTATTATAAAGTAATCTTTAGCTAAGAATATTTATTTCTGTTCTTTTCAATGTGATCCAACATAAAAGAAATCATGAGATGCATGTTGCAATGTTGGTCTAATGACGAGTGCATATGAGTATATACTAAGTCTGGTGCAAAAGTAATTACATATCATAACTGAAAGTAATATAAAAAATGAAAACACTGAATAGCAAAGAGTTTAGGTCATCACTCATCTCCGCTGAAAGACAGTCAGGTATAACTAGAAAACTAAGTAAATTAAGTTAATGAATAAAGCAAAAAATGTTATTTTTTTATAAAAATAAACTGTATTCATCTAAAGTTTATTGAAGGTGACAACTAATAGAAATGATCTGATTGGAAATGGCAATGACAGCTTATGCTACTACTTCTATCCTTAATTGTTGTCCCATGGATGCTGCTACCCAAGCCTTTCAGTTTAAAGGCACATCATAACAGAGTATGTCATGTTCTTTTTATTGTTTTAACCATGTTTATATTTTTTGATTAATATTTAAAGACCATATTATATATTTTATTTAATGTTCCAGGCACACCAAGGTGATTCCTATGTGGCACTTGAAGGGACAGATGAGTCATTAGTGGAGGGAGGTCATCATGGCTCCCATGATCATGAAGAACTGTTTGAGCTCAGTGAAGTTTTTTTTCATCAACTTATTCATAAAATTAAGATTGTACTTGGGGCAGTGTCAAATACTTGAGAAAATGATAAGGTTATATTCGTCTATTTTTTTTGTTTCAGGTTAAGGTTCGAGAAGCTGGGACAGATTAGGGGTGGGGGTGGTTGTAAATGTGGTGAAAAAGTCGGGCCTTCCAGAAGCTGGGATAGATTCGGAGAAATCATTCTTGTATAAATCCAATGCCTCGAGCTTAATCATAGATCCAACAGAAGCAGGAAGCCTTCCAGACATATTATTGTGTTCTAAATTAAGAACTTTTAGTTCTTTGAAATGCCACAAACAGTTTGGAATTTGTCCGCTTAGATAGTTATGAGAGAGGTCAAGTATAACTAAAAAGCCATGGATAACCTCACATAAAAAGGAGATTCCTCCAAAAAAATTTGTTTCTGGAAAGATTTAGTAATGCCACAGTGAAAGAGACATTAGTTATTAGACCATCAAAGCTGTTGGAGCTTAAATCTATCACTGAATTGTTGTGAAATATTGATGACAGATCTGGTACTTTCCCACTTTATGTTGTTGGAAGAAAGATTCAGGAATGTTAACCGGGAAGGCCACGAGCCCCAAAACTCGTGAGGAATAGTATCTGAAATACCATTATTTGCAATATCAAGACTGGTAAGGTTTTTCAAATTTTGAATCCTGAGCTTCAAAAACATTTTCCTCAAGGTCTTCCAAAACTTAATCCTGTCAAGGTAACTTTATTTGCGTTTTACTGACCTTTTATTTTTCATAACTAATTCAAAAATACATGACTTCTGTTGACAGGATATGGGCATATAAGAACCTCAGTTTGTGGACCTGGTAAATCAGATTGAGAAACTTGAACAACAATTGATTTCTCACCCATTAAACAAGGTATGAATTTTTTTTAATGTTTTAGTTTTAATTAAATCAAATTTCATGATTTGTTAAATGTTTCAGTCTCAAGATGAAAATCAGATCCAATGAGACGAATGTCAAACCTTTGACCAAGGAGTTAATTGATTATCTACATGTAAGTGACCAGGACCTCAAGGGAAATCTTACTGAAAAAATTTGCTCCATTGTAGAAAAGTAAGTTGAAGGTTTCATTTTTATCTTTTAATTTGGTGAATGCAATATTGTTATAGCATATTTTGATGATTTTCAAAGTATCATACACACAATAACATTTCTTGATTGGTGTTGTAGGCTTTCCCCTGATAAGATTTGGTACATTGATCAGATGCTCATGGTTCTTTCTGAGGTATGTATTATGGTAGTAGGTTCTTGTAAATGATGAATTTCATTTTCCATGCATTTCTAGTGACCTCTAAATTGTTATAAAAACCTTGGTGGAATGGAAGTTATTAGTATGCTACTAAAGACTTATAAGGGACTCCTAATTCTTGTTTAGGGTTAGTTACTTATTTATACAACAATGTTTCACATTTTTTCTGATTAATAATGTTTGTTGTTATACATAATATGCAATGGTGTTTCAAAATAGGACAATGGTTCATGCAACCTGCTATGACTTATTGTATGATGTGGCATAAGTTTTTAAATTTTTTGACACATCAGCTGCTTAGTTGTATTTTAACAGAAATAAATGATTTATGGCATGTGAATTCCTTGACTCCACTTCATTATGCAAGATGATCACCATTGGTTCTACCATTGTTATTGGATATTTGCATAATTGGTTGTTTTAGGGAAGATATCCTACTATTTATTTTTCTTTATTATTTTTTTTTCTATTTTGTTACATGGATTTTTTGCGGGTTAAGCGATTAAGCGATATCTCACCTCATATGAACCATAACCGATATGGGAGGTTTGTTAAGTTCATTTTGTTTTCTGATGCAAAAAAAGTGGCTAATATCTTTGTGTTGTGCTGTGGTGTAGCGTTTTCAATATCAATAATTAAGGCAGAGCAAGCAATTCTGCAATGTCTCGATGTTGCAGCTAAGGCTCCGCATTGGCCTATTGGTGTTGATGGTTAGTAATTCCACCTGCCTCGTTAAGGTAACAACATATCTGTTGTTTAAACTTCAAAACCCTACTTGAATTTATATTCCATTCATCATCTAGAAACTAGTTTCTATTAGAAACCATGTCAACTTAGTCAAGTTAGTTGGCTTAATTGCCCTATGTAGAAGGAATTCATATGAACAAAAAATTTCATGAAAATGCTTTTGTCTTCACCTTCAGTTCAGTCACCGGTATGTCAAATGACAAATCTACCCCCATAGGATGCCTCCCCATGTTCCCATATGCATAGAAAAACATAATATATTCAACAGGGAGCTTCAGTACATGAACAAAGTGAGGAGACATTATCCTATCAACCCTACAAATAGTAACATTATTTCTACCAATAATGCCCTTGGTGTTGGTCAAGCTCATAGATAATAGCCTTCTGGACATGTATGTCATCATATTACATCCTCCAAATACTACCTTAACATATATTAGTTTTTTTGCAGCTCTCAATCTGATCTGGAAGCTAATTTGTTTAAGGTATATATATATATATATATATATATATATATATATATATATATATATATATATCCCTGTTATCTCCATTATAGTCATGTCTGAGTTTTTACAGTGTACCCTCCACATCCTTATCATTATAAATACTATGTTTTGTTTTGAAAATGAACTTGCCTCTACAATGGATGTTGCTCTTGGGGTTTTGATTATTGAGTAAAGACTTGGAGTTGAATTTTAATTAAATCTGGCAGCATTATCAGCAAGATGCAGTAAAGACTTGGAGTTGAATTTTGCTAAGTCATATAATCAGCTGCTTGGAGCATTAGTCTTAAAGAATTATGAAAGGCAAGATGCAACTTTAGTTAGTTGGAATTCGATGTACATAGTAGATTAGATGCAAATTTATATATTGTAAGAAATAGAATTGTATGACATTAAATTTATGCAATGGATTCTATTTTTTGTATATGATATTTTATTTTCTACTATGAAACATTAAATATAAATTTAATTTGAAAATAAGTAAATCTATAAATAATATTTTTTTTAAACATTTAAAATTATGATACGCAAAAATGTGTGTCATCTTCATTTATGACATGGCCTTTCTTGACATGGGCTTTCTTGATACGCATTGCGTGTCATTAACACGCGCGTCGTAAGGTAACAACACGCGAATGCGTATCGTCTTCCTTTATGACAGGGCCTTCCTTGATACGCATTGCGTGTCATAAGCGCGCGTCGTAACTGCGCGTCGTCTCTCTTTATGACAGGGCCTTCCTTGACGTGCATTTGCGCATCGTCTGAGCCTTTTACGACGCGCAATGAGCGTCGTAAAAGGCTGTTTTTCTAGTAGTGATAGTTTTAGCATGGAGAATTCCAAGAACGTAAAGTTACTAACCCAGAGCAACACCAAGCTGAGTAAGACTCAGAGTCCTAGCACCGATCAATATAGTAGAAATGAGTAGAGTTCCATATGCTTTATCCAATTGATCGATCATGTATGCTCTGACATGTACTTGCCCTAATGTGGTTTTTGTTTTGAGCATGGTTAGTTGATATCATGGAAACCCGAGTAAGGCTCACTGGATAGCGGTTAAGAACATTCTTAAGTATCTGCGAAGGACAAAGGACTATGTTCTTGTACTTGGAGGCAGTGATGACTAACGAGTTATAGGGTACAGTGAAGCCAACTTTCAAACTAACAGAGACAGCTTCCGTTCTCAGTTATCCTAGGTATTTACCCTTAATGAAGGAGTTGTGACTTAAAAAAGTTCCAAGCAAGAAACGTTGGTTGATTCAACCTATGAATTAGAGTATATAGTCATGAGCAAAGCGTCAAAGGAGGCTATATGGTTGAAACACTTCATTAGAGATCTTGGACTACTGCCAGCCATAAAGGAAACTATGGAGATTTTTTGTGATAATAAAGGAGCGGTTACCTTAACCAAGGATCCATGGGATCATTGCAGATGTAGACATATCAACTAGAAAATACCATTTCATCAGATATTGGGTAGAAAAAGGACTTCTCGTTGTTAAGAGGATATCATCATAAAAGAATCTTGTAGATCCCCTCACAAAAGGTCTGAGTAGGGTTAAGCACGTTCAGCATGCGAGGAGCATTATTCTGAAGGATGATATTACTTTTAGTGATTAGATAGATATTCAGAAACATGTAACAATATAAATGTAATTGACATTTGATGATTAAATAATGGAGAATTATTTATAAGTATTGTTTACTATCTTTTATCAATAGTTTATCATTGTGTTTCACTTTTGCATGATTTACTTCCCGAATAACTAGATTATTCAGAATATCCACAGTCCATTATACTTTGAAAGTAAGTATTGAATTAAGACTATAATGAATTGGCTTGTAGATTGTCAAAGTGTTTAGACATAGCAATAGTTTGCTGCAATGTTCATTAGTACTCCTGAAACGAGGATTTGAGTATTGGATTAAAACCATGCACATTAAATTACTTCATGGAATATGAGTTGTTGTTTACAAGTTGCTTGTGCATTGATAATGTGTAAAGGCATCAGTAACTTGATGTTATAAAACATATTATGGTTCCTGATTTGACGAGTAAATAGTAAAAGCATTTAAGTCAATTTTTATCTATTTCTTTTTCCCTAAGGGGTAAAAGCAATATGTTGGGCCCCTCGATGATTTTGCTTTGACTTATGTGTCGGGCTCGGTCAGGACTGAATTCATGTGTTCAAGTAAGATTCTTGTCATAAAAATCAAAAACCAGGAAACAGATTGTTCGACAATGAGAATGATTCTATTCCATGTCATTATCCACAACTCTTTTGGGTTGCCTTCACTCATGCAACTTGACAGGATGAGTATTGGATAGAGAGTTGAATTTATTATTTGGAATAATGAATTGATGCTTAAAATGATTTATTAATATTTTATAAGAATTATATGTTAATTAGAAACCATATTATTAATTGGTATGTAATCAAAAATTAACTTGGAATGAATTTTAGTATTAAAGGAACTCAATAATAATGGAGGGGCTATTTTGCATATCATTGTAACTTGTGAAACTGGGCTCTAAGACGCCATAGAAAGGAGTGGACGAAAATTAGAGGGTGACCCTATATGTTTTCATCCAAGGCTCCTTAATGTGGGCCCATGGGTTGCTTTAGCCTAAAGCAGGGAATTGGGGTTTCCACCTGCAAACCCTAGCTTTGGGACTAGGCAGCCATAAGTATATAAGAAGGCTTATACTTGTGATTATTAGCAACTACCTTTTAACCCAAGAAGAGTCAAATTCCTGGTGCATCTCCCCCTCTCTTTCTCATCCTCTTTCATAGAGTGTTCGTAAGCCATTATAGGCGTCACACTTAAGGCATTATAGGTGTCAAATTCTTGGTGCATCTCCCCCTCTCTTTCAAAGAGTCAAAGATCTTCAACATTTTCTTGTAATTGCTACATAACAAGTAAAGTAAACATCTAAACGCTATTTTTGTGTAAATTTCGAAATTATGTACTAGTTTCTAGGGTTTTGCTTTGGTATTCAAGTTTGCATGTTGAACTAGTTAAAAACATAGATCCAAAGCAATAGGGTTGCATGAACACATAGTATTTGTAGTTATGCTCATTACCCATCACGACCCTTAGCCTTCGAGGGGTCAGCTCTCCTTTGTCATCCATCTTTAATCCTCATGGATGATGGGGATGGAGCCTACACTAATCTTGAAACATGGAATGGACAGTTAGCCTTCACATGGTTAACATGATCAAAACGGTATAAAATCTTGGAACTCGATAATGGAGCTTGCTGATGACAATCCTTAGTAATATGGCCCTCCATGCCACATTTTTTTCACCCACAAGTTGATCCACAAATGACATCATGCACCTTCCTACACTTTCGATAAGAAATGCCCATCTATCCTACCGATCATACATTAGCGGGATTGAACCTTTTTGTTGATGGTTGTGACTGAACTAGAGCCTACCTCAACTCTCCCACCTAGCTCTTGATCTCAATATCCTAACTCCTTGAGGCATCCTTAAGCTTGAATAGGGTACGATATCGTTGGGTAGACACATACTTTCAACTCCTATTTTTGGGCATGCTCAAGTATCAGAAAATATGTGTCTTCTTCAAAGAAGAATACTCTAGGAAGAAAAGAGCTCTCTCAATAAGCATCTTGGTAATCTCTGCCGCCGACTTTTTCATCTGCCTCAATGTCAGATAGACTTGAGCTAACCTCTCCCTCGACATGAGGCGAAAATACCCAGTGCAAAATGTCTCTGAGAATTGCCCCCAAAGTAATATCATTCCTTTTCTCAGGAGTGTAAGAACCAGTCACCAAGTTCCACCAATCCTTCGCATCTAGACAGAGACAACTCAGGGCGCACCTGATGTTCCAGTCCTCCTGACAGGAAAAAGTGAAGAAGCAGTCCTCCAAGTAAAAATCCACCGCAAAGCCACAATTGGGTCCTTGATCTCGTCGAACTCCGGGGGCTTCGTATTCTTCAAATTTCAGTACTAGAATGACCCTCTCCCTTGAAACCTCGTACAAGTAACATGTATGGTAGTTGTAACCACAACAGACTCAGTGAGAACGGCATATCACCTGGAAAGATCAATCAATGTGGTAATGATAGACCCAAAGAGCTTTTTGACTGCCTCCCTGACCCCCACGATCACATGACTAGTGATCATCTCCCGAGTGTCATCATCTGTAAACCCTAGCCTCTTATGACAACCCAAACCTTTTTCCATTAACATTAGCCCGATTCCGTTAATGAATTTGGAATTTTATTTTGTTCCGTCAAAATTCTTATGGTTTGGAAAATCATTTAAGTTATATAATGGAATTTTATATAAGAGTCCGAACCAAAAAATCGTGTGAAAACCCGAGTTACTTAAAAAATCAACGAATCTGGCATGACTGGTGTTCACGGCCGAGAACCTGATCATGGCCGTATACTTGTTCACGGCTGGTGGCCACCACTACTAACAATGAACCC